TTTGAGAGGGTTCTAAGAAGCAAGATAGCCAACCACCTAGATACCCATCAATTACACAACCCAGGGCAACAAGGGTTTAGAGCAGGTCGCTCCTGCCTGTCCCAGTTACTGGACCACTGTGACAAAGTCCTGGATGCTGTAGAGGAAAAAACAAATAAGATGTAGTATACACAGACTTTGCAAAAGCATTCAACAAGTGTGACCATGGTGCAATAGCACACAAAATGCTTGATAAAAGAATAACGGGAAAAGTTGGTAGATGGATCTACAACTTCATGACAAATAGAACACAAAGAGTAAACAGAGTAAAGTCCTAGGCAGCCATTGTAAAAGCTCTGTTCCACAAGGCACGGTACTCGCTCCCATTCTATTCCTCATTCTCATTTCTGACATAGACAGAGATGAAAGCCATAGCTCTGTGTCTTCCTTTGTCGATAACACCCAGATCACCATGGCAGTGACCTCCATCGAAGACATCAACCAAATCTTCAAATGGGCCGCTCAAAACAATATGAAGTTCAACAAGGAGAAATTTCAACTACTCAGATATGGAAAACTTGAAGATATTAAAAATGTGTTAGGGTATACCACAAATTTTAACTATACAATAGAGCAGAAAAGTAATGTGAAGGACCTGGGAGTGATAATGTCAGAGGATCTCGCCTTCAAAGACCACAACAACGTATTGACCTCATCCGCTAAGAAAATGATAGGGTGGATAATGAGAACCTTTCAAAACTAGGGACACCAAGCCCATGATGATTCTCTTCAAATCGCTTGTGCTGTCTAGGCTGGAATACTGCTGTACACTAACGGCCCTTTTCAGGGCTGGCGACATTGCAGACCTGGAGAGTGTACAAAGAACTTTCACGGCACACATAAGCGAGATAAGGCACCTAAACTACTGGGAATGGTTGAAGGTCCTTGATCTGTATTCCCTCAAATGCAGGTGAGAGAGATGCATGATAATGTACACTTGGAAGGTCCTGGAGGGATTGGTACCAAACCTGCACACGAAAATCACTCCATATGAACGCAAAATACTCGGCAGGAGATGCAATACAGTGGACCCCCGGTTAACGATTTTAATCCGTGCAAGAGGGCTCATCGTTATGCGAAATAATCGTTATGCGAATGAATTTTCCCCATAAGAAATAATGGAAATAAAATTAATCCGTGCAAGACGCCCAAAAGTATGAAAAAAATTTTTTTTTACCACATGAAATGTTAATTTTAATACACACAAACTGAAAAAGGCATGCACAATTACATGACACTTACTTTTATTGAAGATCTGGTGATGATTGATGGGATGGGAGGAGGGGAGAGCATTATCTTCTTACTGTTTAGAAGGGGAATCCCCTTCCATTAGGACTTGAGGTAGCAAGTCCTTTTCTGGGGTTACTTCCCTTCTTCTTTTAATGCCACTAGGACCAGCTTGAGAGTCACTGGACCTCTGTCGCACAACAAATCTGTCCATAGAGCTCTGTACCTCCCGTTCCTTCAAGACTTTCCTAAAATGGGCCATAACATTGTCATTGAAATAGTCACCAGCACGGCTTGCAACAGCTGTGTCAGGGTGATTTTCATCTATAAAGGTTTGCAGTTCAACCCACTGTGCACACATTTCCTTAATCTTTGAAGTAGGCACAATGGATTCCACAACTGGCATAGGCTTCTCAGGGTTAGCCCCAAACCCTTCAAAATCTTTCTTAATTTCCATACTAATTCTCACCCTTTTTACCACAGGGTTGGCACTAGAAGCTTTCTTGGGGCCCATGGTCACTTATTTTCCAGAAACAGCACCGAAAACACTGTAATAATACGAAATATTCCGAGTGTATGCTTGGATGTTACCGCGGAGGCTGGCTGGTAAACAATGGGACGGCCGGCACATGTGAGGGCACATTGGACGCGTCTCGGACGAAAATCGGTAAGCGGGTTTTTAATCGGTATGCGCGGCAAAAATTTTGCGATAAAAGTAATCGTTATGCGGAAAAATCGCTATGTGATGCCATCGTTATGCGGGGGTCCACTGTATTTCCCCAATGAAAAGCAGGGGCGGTACGAGTACACTGAGAGACAACACAATAAGTGTCCGGGGGCCCAAGACTGTTCAATTGCCTTCCAGCATACATGAGGGGGATTACCAATAGACCCCTGGCTGTCTTCAAGAAGGCACTGGATAGGCACCTAAAGTCAGTACCTGACCAACTGGGCTGTGATTCGTACGTCGGCTTGCATGCAGCCAGCAGTAACAGCCTGGGTGATCAGACCCTGATCAACAATGAGGCCTTGTCTCAGACTGGGCTATGGGGGCATTGACCATTGAAACCCTCTCCAGGTAAACTGATGCACACATGAACAAAGACCACTTGCTGCTCACAGGTGACTTCAGTATAAATCTCCTGCATGACCAGGACCCACAGGTAACTGAATTCACAAACACTATGAGCAACTTCTTGCTGCTGCCAACAGTAACAAAACCTACAAGAATCTTGCTACACTGTTAATTCTACACTTTATCGCTGGCTGGAGCTATAGCCTTTATCGATACCTGCTGCTTTAGTATCATACATTTTGTAGAATCACTGAATCACTGCAGAAGGCACATTCTCCCCTCTCTCTTCCTCCTCTACTTTAGTACTTTGCTATGGGTTTTTTCTTGAATTCTATTGTGTTTCTAACCTTCTTTATCAAAGGGCTGGTACTAGGAGCTTTCTTTGGGCCCATGGTGGCTTATTTAGCAGTTGCAAGCACAAAAAACAATGAATTATTATGAAATGTGTTGTATGAACCCGTGGGGTGATGGTCACATGCTAGTAAACAACGGCACACTGAGTGTGACTGTGAATAGTGCGGGAGACTGGCTTTGTGTGCGTGCCCTGTCAGACACATAAGAACATAAGAAAGGAGGAACACTGCAGCAGGCCTGTTGGCCCACACTAGGCAGGTCCTTTACAATTCATCCCACTAACAAACATTTGACCAACCCAACTTTCAATGCCACCCAAGAAACAAGCTCCGATGTGCAAGTCCTACTCAAATCCATCCCCTCCCACTCACGTATCAGAAGGTCGCCAAATCATGAGTCCAATCACGAACCATGAAGCTAAAATTTGCCGAAAAAACTTGTCGAAAGTCGGATTTCATGAGTCGCAGCCGCCGAACGGCGGGGGTCCACTGTACATAACATAAGACAGAAGGAACACTGCAGCAGGCCTACTGGCCCATGCAAGGCAGGTCCATGTCACTCCTCCCCCTCCAGCTTAGACCAATGACCCACCTAGGCAGGTCACATCCACTGAAGGAAGGAGCAAGACATAAGACCTAGTAGCACAAACTAGTCAGGTCCAACTCACACTCACTCACCTATTTAGCTAACCCTTGCTGTATTTGTTATCACTGTTACACACAAACATATCTGTCTGTCTGTCTGTCTCTGCTTATCTGTCTTTCTGTCTGCCTGTGTGTGCCTTGAGCATATATCAAACTACTTGAAGAATGGTGTTATGACAACTGTTGACAGCTCCGTGACATTTGATAAATGGGCACTAGGGTAACCCTGGCTTTACTTGTTTTCACTGATACACACAAACATGTTTGTCTGTCTGTCTGTCTATCTATCTATCTATCTTTGCCTGGAATTTTTGGGTTGTCCTAAGTAATTTACACTATGTATAATAACTGTACTTATGTGTACATGGGAGGGAGACAGACAGAGATATAGACAGATAGAGAGACAGCCAAAGCCTAATGGTAAGTGTGCACTATATAAAAAATCCTGCAGGGTGCAGAGCATAATGAGAAGAACGGTGGCTGCACTCTTGGTGTAAAAGTGACTTTGCAGTGTATTTTTGTATGGTTTGTATTGTTGCATTCTCGTTTTTTGGTCTCATTTGATAGAATGGAAGATATATTACAGAAATAGATATAATTTTGATTGGTTTCATGCTGGAAAGTATGTTAAAATTGAGCTCATAGTAGTGGAACTGTTTGATTTTTGCCGTTGTTCAAGAGTAAACAAATAACGCCACCATCCAATGTATGTCCAACTGGCTGGTCTAATACACAGTCATGAATGAGTTAGCATTATTTATACAATTGTTACAATAATGCAGTAGTCTGCATAACAGTAAATCTTCTATTTTTTGTGTGAATAAAAATTAAAAATGGAAAGCAAGCATAATATAAGAGGAGGCTGGAGATGTGACTGATGGACAGAGAAAATGTTACTTTCGTGCTAGAAATGTCTGCATTGTTTATTCTGGACCCTATTTTGAAATTGGCATCTCTTGAAATTTGTGTGAAATTGGCCAAATTACCGAATTCTGATCACTTTATTGGGTAGTGAAATAGGTAAATGGGCAGTTTCTTGTACTCAGTCAACAGAATAGAAGGAATACTAGCAAAATAGCTATGAGTTTGGTAGACTGGAACAATGGAATGGGCCAAAAAGAGGGCATAAAGTGGGTGAAATCACCGATGGGTTAAAGTGTTTTTTAGCCTAACCACTCTGTAATCCAGCAAAATGACTAATCTGGCACCCTACAGGTTCGAGTGATACCGGATTAGTGATGGTCATCCTGTACACACATTCAAATCTAGTGATATTTTTACATGTGTAATACATTTTCCTTATCAGAATATTGATTTTTTCCAATATTACAATAATTGCATTTTACTTAATTAACTGATTACAGTGGAAAAGGAAATTATAGGGGATGTATTGGTTCACCTGTGAATTATCTTTCAAGTCACACCAGCATTACACACCTACACTACTTGATAAACACTATTATCCCCATCAGTTAATACACGGAAATCACAAGAAAATTATCAGAAATTTTCCACTTAATAATGTAATGCTAGTGCTAATACATGTGAGGTAATAATGCTATTTAAGGCCTATACAGCAGTAATATATAGGCCATTAGTGTAGCTTCAGTAAGGCAAGTCCTTTTTAATAATCACTTATTGTTTCCAATTTTTTCCCACAGATGTTGTAACAATCATCAGTGGTGATAAGGTGCTCTTTATGGATCCAAGTGAGCCAGAAAAGAAAATGTGCCGCATCCTTTCTTTAAATAAATTAATGAGTATCTGCCCCCTTGAAGACTGTCTATATTTATGGAGTAATTACTTAAGCACACAGAACATAAATGATGGCTATTTTCCCTCTACACTGTTCTGGTTTCCACTTAGGCAGAGTCCATCTGAGTTATCAGATACTGTGTACTCATATGAACATGTTATAAAATTGTTTGAATCATTTGGTGTGGAAGCTGCTGAATGTCTAACCTTTCTGAAATCTCTAGAAAAAATATGCTTGAAGAGGATCATTGAAGATAATAAGCTTCCAACAATCACCCATGATGTACAATTAAATAGTCCATTCATGACTGAAGTTCAAGGAAAGAGAAAAAACTTTAGACAGAGGCTCAAAGAATGTAATGGATTTCCATCTCAAGCAATTACTTGTTGCTATGATGTTACAGTTAAAAGTGTGCAAGAAAATAACACAAAGCAACGGGTAATGCGCATTCTTCACTATTTACCAGGTACAAATGAAACCGCATCAGTAACCTGGAGAGGCAAAAACAGTAACAGACACATGCCTCTAGTTGGTGTAGCTGCACCCATTACAACACATGGATCCCCTTGGTCTAATGGGCATATTTTTTGCTTTCTGCCATTACCTTTAGAATTTGCCAACAATACCAATCTTCCTGTTCAGGTCAATGGTTTCTTTGCACTTGATCAGAATAGAAGACATGTCAACTGGAAGACTGAAGAGAGCAGTGATGAACCTGAGGTGAATATTAAAGATTTATTTGTTATTAGTTAGTTTATAATTCTATACCTGATAGTGTGTGAATATGAGATTAAAGATATGAGTAGGGATCATCTCAGGAATAGTTAGAGAAAAGGGTGCATGGAGGCTTCAAGTGTTTAGGGCTTGAGTGCATCCAGCAGGCTTGCATAAGAGGATATTACAATGGAGTGGGTAGAGATTAGCAGCTTTTAATGGATGTTTTGTTTGGAATGTGAGCGAAGTAACTTTAATGAATGGAAAGCCAGTTAGTTGGACTATATATATGCATGAATTCATACATTATTCTCTTTTTAGTATTGATGGGATTAAAATGTCTTGGTATGCTTTGATAATCAATATATTACTTTTTGTAGGTATTGTGGAATGAAGAACTGGTATCCAAAGTTATTGTTGAAGCATACTTTACCCTTTTGTGTGGGGTTCTTGAAGATTTGAAATCAAAGTCTTTTCACATGGAAACCTGGTATAATCTCCTTCCACACATAAATTCCTCAAAGGGAAGATGGAGAGAACTTGCTACTGCATTATGGTCAAGACTGAAATCACTCCCTATTTTGTACTCAGAGGTAAGTGTTTCCATTTATGGAAGAATGCTGATGAAGGCACATTAATTTTGCTTCTAAAAATACAAGTAAAAATTGCATAATTGCACTGCAAATTTAACATCCCAGAAAACCAATTATAGAAGCAATGACAATGGTAACTATTTCACAAGAAAATCTATTAACCCTTTGAGGGTTTCGGACGTACTAGTACGGCTTACGACCCAGGGTTTTTGACGTACTAGTACGCCTAAATTCTAGCGCCCTCAAATCTAGTGGGAGAAAGCTGGTAGGCCTCCATATGAAAGAATGGGTCTATGTGGTCAGTGTGCACAGTTTAAAAAAAATCCTGCAGCACACAGTGCATAATGAGAAAAAAAAACTTTGACTAATGAACAGAGGAAATGTCATTTTAGTGCCAGGAATGTATTTCTTGTTTGTTCTGGACCCTATTCGGAAATTGGCATCTTTTGAAATTTGTGTGAAATTGGCAAAATTGCTAAATTCTGACCACTGTACTGGATAGTTGAAATTGGTAAATGGGTGGTTTCTTGCACTCATTCAATAGAAAAAATGGAGTTCTAGCTAAATATTCATGTTTTTTGTCGACTAGTACAGTGGAACTGGCCGAAAATGGGGCTCAAAATGGGCAGAATCACCAATCCGTAAACATCGCCGAGACCGCTAACTTCGCGAGAGCATAATTCTGTAAGTTTTCCATCAAATTTCATATTTTTGGTGTCATTATGATCGGGAAAAGATTCTCTATCTTTTCATAAGAATTTTTTTTTTTTTTTTTTTTTTAAATTTGGCCGACCCTGAGAAAAAGTCTCGGAGAGGGCCTGTCGACCCTCAAAGGGTTAATTACAATAGTATGTACAGTGGACCCTCCCTTTTCATCTTTAATTCATTCCAGAGAATCTGACGAAATGTGAAATCGACGAAAACTGGATCCATTTTCCCCTTAAGAAATAATGAATACAGAAAAGATGAAGAAATCAAGTATAAAACAATAACAACATGTCACTTACCTTTATTGAAGACTTGTTGGTGTTTAGAAGATGGGAGGAGGGGAGAGGATGGAGAAGTTACACTATTGTTTGGAAGGGGAATCCCCTTCCATAAAGAGAGCTCTTGCAGCTCTACCCTCTACCACCATCACAACCACTACCACCCTCTACCACCATCATAGCTGCTACCACCCTCTACCACAATCACTACCACTCTATTCCACTATCACTACTACCATCACAACTGCTACCACCCTCTATGTACCACCATCATTACCACCCTCTACTACCATCACAACTGCTACTACCCTCTACCACCATCACTACCACCCTCTACCACCATCACTACCACCCTTTAGCTGTGTGTAAGAAAGTCTAGTTATGCATAGAATTTTTGGGACTTACTTCCAGTGAGGTGGGATCTAGCACTTTTTTAAGTGAGAGCCAGTTGTCCTTTGTAGAAATTCATAATTACTTGTGTCCTTATGGATGTAAGAGAAGAGGCCAAAGAGACAGAGAGGACATTTGAATGAAAATAGTGAAAAACTGTGAAGTAGAAGCTTCCATATTCTGATGCACAAGGCCTGCAAAGCTTATGGGGGGTGCAGGAAAGGGGAGAGTGACCATTAACCATTAGATACTTGAAAAATGTGGCCCAAACTGGACAGTGACAACCTGCACAGTCACAACACTTGAAATAGCTCCTGCATCACCCAGAACAGTTATCATAAATTGTTGGGGTCTGTACCCTTTCATAATTGCAAGGGACATGTGCTAAGAGGAAAGATGTAGATATAAGCCATCTTTGATGAATCATTTGACTTGTCTGGTTGATGGCTGCTTGTTCAGGACAAACAGCTACTTGCTCATTGTGTGATGTAACAGAATTGGTCCTGGGAAAGGGCTATCCTGCAGGACTTACTTGAGCTTCAGTTGGGTGTGAAGAGTGCCAGGAATCACCTGGGAGAAAGTAGGATCCCCTTCCCTCTACTCTGCAAGCACCAAAAAATTGCAAGAGAGATCATTTTAATCCCTTGTTCTGAGAAGGATCATCTTTAGATGACTTTGTGAACTACAGAGGAGCCTCTTCCCCAAAATGCACTCATAGGAAGCCTCTGGAAGTGAAGCTTTCTGGCCTGACAAGGAGCACTTGGTCAGGTGTTTTGCTGAACTGAGCAGAATGATTGGCAGTTACTGCAGAGTGGAGAGAAGTGGCTGTGTTGTGTTCGAGGTTGCTCCTATTGTTCTACTGCTTTGAAGCCAGTGTCATCTGTCCTGTAGCACTACACCATGAGCTCAGTTCATTCAAATAAGCTGTGAATGGTAAATTTGGGCAGATAAGCTGTGAACGGTAAATTTGGGCCTAGGTGTGAGAGACTGTGTCTACACAGTAAGTGTGCACCAAATAAAAATAAAATCCTGTAGCAAGCAGTGCTTTATGGGAAATAAAACTGCAACTGTGTTTTTGGTTTAAAACAGCAACTTTGCAGTGTATTTTCGTATGGTTCTTATTGTTGTATTCTTGGTTTCTTGGTCTCGTTTGATAGAGAGGAAGCTATAGTACAGAAATATAAATGATTTTGATTGGTTTCAGGACTGAAAGTAACTTGAAATTGAGCTCAAAGTAGCAGAAATGTTCAATTTTTGCCAATATTCCAGAGTACACAAATGATGTCACTCATCCAATACGCGTCAATCTGGCCATTCTAATATGCATTTACAAATGCACTAACATTGTTTATACAACTAGTACAGTGGACCCCCAACTTGCAATATTAATCCGTTCCTGAGAGCCCATCGTCAGACGAAATGATCGTAGGTTGAATTAACTTTCTCCGTAAGAAATAATGGAAATCAAATTAATCCAGGCAAGACACCCAAAAGTATGAAAAAAAAAATTTTACCACATGAAATATACATTTTCCTACACAATAGTAGAGCAGTACATACACAATATATATTGTGCATGTACTACTCTACTAAATGAAGAATAAATGACATCTTTATTGAAGATTCAGCAATGACTGATGAGACACTGTGTCCTGGGAGTGCCTTTTCCTCCTGAGTAATGTAGGTCCTGTTTGGCATTTTCTTCCAGAACAGGCATTATCACACTGTGTATGCCACTACGATTCTTAAATCTCTCAAACCAACCTTTGCTGGCCTTAAATTCACCAATATGAGCACTAGTTCCAGGCATTTTTTCCTGTTCACCTGGGTGTTAGTCGACTGGTGTGGGTCGCATCCTGGGAGACAAGATTAAGGACCCCAATGGAAATAAGTTACAGTCCTCGATGACACACTGACTTTCTTGGGTTATCCTGGGTGGCTAACCCCCTGGGGTTAATTGTTTCTCGGTCTTCTCGATAAGCCACACCAACAACGGTGCTACAGCAGCAGCAGCTGACGGTGCTGCAGCAGCTGACAGTGCTGCAGCAGCAGCTGACCATGGTACGAAATAGTTTTTCGATAGCATTTCTCACCCTTTTTACCACAGGGTTGGCACTAGAAGCTTTCTTTGGACTCATGGTGGCTTATTGAGCAGTTAGAAGCAGTAAAAACAATGGAATAATACAAAATATTCCGAATGTATGCTTGGGAGCTACTGCTCAAGCGTGTAAACATTGGCACACTAAGGCCAGCTGAGGCGCGCTCAGTTGGACACATGAGGACAGGTACCGGACGAATGCTGTAGGTCGAGTTTTTCAGTGTATGTCAGGGTGCTGAAACACATCGTAGGTCATTTTTAACATAGGTTGGGGACATCATACCTTGGGGGTCCACTATATTACAATAATGCAGTAGTCTGCATAACAGTAAATATTCTATGTTTTGTGTGTGAATAAAAATTAAAAATGGAAAACAAGTACAGTGGACCCCCGGTTAACGATTTTAATCCGTGCAAGAGGGGTAATTGTTATGCGAAATAATCGTTATGTGAATGAATTTTCCCCATAAGAAATAATGGAAATAAAATTAATCCGTGCAAGACACCCAAAAGTATGAAAAAAAAAATTTTACCACATGAAATATACATTTTCCCACACACAAAGAGAAGGATCATGCACAATAGTAGAGTAGTACATGCACAGTATATATTGCACCCCCCCCCCCCCCCCCCTTATTATGCTACTAAATGAGAATAAATACATTACCTTATGAGTTTCAGGGAATGACTGATGAGACATGGCCTGGGAGTGCC